CCCGGTCCCTCCGCGGTCCTTCTGGGGAGGCGCTTTTCCGCGGGCTCGAAGGTGCCGGAGGAGATCGCCCAGCCGGCTGGCCCGCTCTCCATGGCGCACAGGAAGCCGCTGGAAGACGCCAAGAAGCGCAGCGGCGACTCTGGAGTCGAACCGGATCGGAGCGTCTTGAGCAAAGAGCAAAGGCACCAGCGCATCAGCCTCTTCCTGCAGGATTTCGACCACCAGGGTGAGGCGGCGGGAAGGGGGGCGCGAGCAGCGGTTGTGCTCGTTAATTCCCTCCGCTGTCTCCGAGAAGGAGGCGTCCTTCCATCTTTCCTCAACAAGGACCTTCAGATCACTGGCTGGACTACAAGAACCATGATGCTAATACCTAGGATTCACGTGGGTTAGAGTCTGGCATATCATAAGGTGGCAGGACAAGTTAGGGGATGCCAGGGGCTAGTTTGGGTTTGGCTTCACACCTTGTGGGAACTCCGTCCCTGTGATTAGTACTCATATTTACGGACAGTTGTGGGGATTCTTGCCAATTGTGGTTTACTCAGTAACCCTTGATTGTTGGTGTAACTTGTTCAGGAAGCCAATTTGCTGGGCCTTTGGTTGGCACATTGCGTGAACCTAGTTTGTAAACCAGGGTTAAGCAAGCTGTGCTTCACAGTGCCCCCCCCCCCAATCACTGCTTCCTTTTGCTTTACTACTTTGGGGAAAAGACTGGCACCCTTTCTGTCCCCTGCTTCTCTGTTCAAGCAAAGGAGAATCTCCAAGAGATGAAGAAGGAACTGGCTTCGCTTCTGCAGACGGCTGAGAAAGCCTTCAGAGTAGAGCTACTGACCCTGCCCCTGGCTATGAGGAAAATGAAGAGGAAAGACTTGTTGGGTGAGCCCTGGGCCCTGCTGCCCACCCTGCATCCTCCCTTCTCCTATCCCAGTGTTTCCGTTTCTGCTGCGGGGCTGGCCCACCTGTAAGCTTGCAGAACCTACTTTGGTCCTCCTAGAATCCTTCCAGATCTACGAGTCCAGAGGAACTGGCATAAGAGGAAGGGACTGCCTTTCCCCCAAACCTCAAGGCAGCGCTTTCTTTTCACCCTGAGCCACTGAGGGAGAGTGACTGGCCCAAAATCACCCAGAGAGCTTCCGTGGCTGAAGGTCTACCTGAACCTGGGTCTCCCTGGTCATAATTCAACATACGATTGGCACCAACTGGCTCTCCTTCACAGTCTGGAGGTTTCTGGGGTCCACTCTAATGTTGGACCTTGTGACTTTGGCGTGGGTGTGTGGTGGGGGGGGATTTGATGAGGAGAGTGGCATGACTGGGACAGGGCCAACAAGGTGCTGCAGAGAGCCATTTTGGAGGCCTCCTCAGGCAACTCTGCCCAGCCCAATTACTCTTTTCAATCTCCACAGGATCTGTACTTCTGTCCTTAAAACCTGTTTCTACCAAACTTTTTCATCTTCCATAGACTGATGTTACAACCTTGTACGTTTATTGGAGAGCAGACTCTTCTGAAACAGCTTCCTTCTGAGTACACATATCCTTCAGTCTTCTCCTGGGTGCCCTCCAGCTGGGTGGGCACTACAGTTCCCAGAATTCCAAGCCAGGCTGGCTAGTAGAATTCTAGAAATTGTAGCTACTCCATCTCTGGAAATGCCTGAGTTGGGGAAAATTGAAGCATAGGATTGTACGGTTGGAAGCTGGTGGTTGAAAGGCCCTTTTAGTTTCAGTACTTGCCATAAAACAAGTTCAAGGTCTTGGAAGCCTTCTAAAGATTACCAGTAAACATTGATCCACTCTCTGCCCCACCCGCATAAATGTCCTGAGATACAAGTCTAACAAATAATAAAGGTGGGAAGCTTGTGTTTCTTCAGATGTTAAAGTAAGGTAAGCCTTCTCTGTGTAAAACTCACCTCCATGGACAATTCTTGTAACTTTTTTGACCGTGGGGTAGACATTGTTTGCCACTGTTTTCTTCTGGAATGTTTTTTGACATCCTTGACTCTAGTCCTGCAATTTCCTGACCTGGCTTAGCTGTTTGAGATCAAGCTAAAGTCAGCTCGGTGTGGCCACATCTCCAGATGTGGCTGAATTCCACCTCCTAGCAATCCTTGCTGCTATTAACCTGGTTGAATGCAGATCCTGGGAATTGCAATTCAACTCCAGATACTTCTGAACTGTATGAAGCACTTTTGTGAGTGGGCGGCCAGCTGCTTTAGTATAATGGTTTAATTTCTGTCTTTCAGATCTGAAAGAAGAAGATGCAGCTGCAGCAGCAGCTGTAGCCACTCTGGAGGCAGTAAGTGTCTGCAGAGTGTCTGCTCCATCAAAGTATGTTAAAATAATGAATGGGAATGGAATCTACTGCCTTGTGATACCTGTACAAATAGGGAGATCTGTGATAGAAGAACTAATTCCACACCCCCCCCCCAAATAATATCTACCTGTTGGCATTTCTTCCAGATAGAGAACTGTCACCAGGATCCTGAAACCTTATTTCTGATCATTTATTTATATACCTAGAGATTGATGATTTGTGCCTAAGCAAATCTGAATAAAGGGACCACTATAATGCTAGTCTTAATTTTTCCCTTTTCTCCCCCAACATCTCTGAAGAATGACTGTGGTATTGGAGACCTTCTAAGTCCTAGACTAAAGAGGACAAATAGCAAGCGAGGTAAATCTGAAGTGCTCATCCTGGAACAAAATAAGCTTTTCTGTACTCTTCCCAAGTTCTTCTGTACTGATCCTCTGTGGAGCTGAAGGGAGTAATGGTGTCTAAGACATCTGGAAGGCACCAAAGTTTGCTTGATTCCAGTTTCTACAGCTTGGACACCAGCCAGATAAATGGACCTCAGTTCCTTGAACTTCTCAATAATAGCTCTCCCGGCTGAGAAATTCTAGAAATCTTGGGAACTCCAGGAGCTGTCTTGGAAAGGGGATCAGGATAGTTCACCGAGCATGGAAAGTCCATCTGAACCGATCCTACCACATTTTTGGTGGAAAAATAGCTGGTTATTAGGGCCATGCATGCTGTAAAAAAAAGATTAGGTGCTACTGAACACTTAAGGTCTAAGCTTTTCTGCTGAATTGTTTCTGAAACAGGCACAATTAGTCTCTTGACCCAAATATCTTTTCCAGTTAAAGTCACCACAATTGTGGAATATAAGGAAGCAAAAGAGGAACAGGGGGCACACACCAAGAAAACATCTCAGAAGGTAGGTGGGGAAAGGATAATATCCATTCTGCTTTTTTGAACCAGTCTTCCTTCCAGTTTTGAAGGTGCCTGTGTTGGCACCAGGCCTGAATTTCATTGCCCCAAAGTTGCTTTGGATCCAGTGCCAGTTCTGCAAGCAAAGTGTTATATATACTGCTTAATTTTTCTTCAGGCATTTAAAACCAAGTCACTGACTTCTGCCATCAAGGATAAAAAAGGCATTCTTTGCAGGTAAGAATAGGTCAATGCTTTTAATTTATCCCATACTTTAAAATGAAGGTATTTCATCCACTGAGATGGACTGATGAAAAGAAGACACCTCTACCTGGCTGAGGTGCTAGGCAATATTCTAGGGGAGAGGACAGGTGCTTATGTTGACAGGGCTGAGTCTTCTTGATTTTAGTGGAGAAGACCTTTAAGCATCAAGCTGATGGAAATTAACTTAGCTGGAATGTGGTCTTAAATAGTTGAAGGCTGGGGTCTCCTTTTGCAAAACAAGTGGCTCAGTGAAATAGTTATGGATTGTTTGCAAGAATCCTTTCTGGTTTCAAGAAAAGAATAAAGCCAGCTGCTGTTTCTCAGGACTGTGCAGAAGAGTTTTCCTTCCATCATTTAGGTCTTAACCAAGTGCATTATAGTTGTATTTTCAGGAAGGTAATAGAAGCAGTCATGGGAGGAAATATTGTGTGCGGGGCAGGGGAGGAATAACTCAATGACTGGTGTCTTCCATCAGGTCTGCATCTGTGCGCTCCACTCCAAACATGAGATGCATCGAGCGATCTGCCTCTCTGCGTGAGCAGCCAAGATCTGCTCCCAGGTTCATCAGCGCAGACTCTAAAAGGTCCAGACTCTTGACACTTTTAAAGCACTGATTGGACTTCTGCAGAGAGGGTGTATGTCTGCCTACATCTTTCCCCCCAAGCTGAAGTGCTCTCCACCTATCCTTGAGTCGGCACAAAACTGCCCCAGCGTGAAACTGATTGTTCCCACTGTTGATCCCTACCCTGCTTCTCTTGCTTCTGTTTCAAGTCACCCGCACCACCCCAACTTCTCTCCAAGATGATGAGAGCATATAATGAACTATCCATATCTAAAAGCTATCCTTAGATGCTGTTGAAATAAGTGGGGGGTGTGGCACTAGTTTAGCTAAGGGTGACTTAAGCCCATTCAGTCATGGATGGTGGAGAAGATGAAGGCAGTGTCAAGAGGAACACAGCAAAAATTAAGCAATTGTCAGGGCATGTTTGTGTTGTTAGGTGCAAGAAGGGAAAAACCCTGTATCTTCTGAATGGTCTGGTGCTGGACCATCTCTCCATTTGCAGCTCTCTAGGGGTCTTTGCAGGAAGTTGCCTTGTGGGTGTTCAGATGACCCTCTTCTTGCCTGCTCAGGAGACCTTGGGGAGCAAATGATCTCATGGCAGTGCCCTGGCAGCTTGGAAATATGGACAAAGACATGGCTGCTTTAATGTACTGACTCTTTAAAGCGGCTGCATATTTTTCAGTCTGTGAAGCTGTCTACCTACTTGTGTTTATGTGTGTTTGTCTGTATGGAGCTAGGCAGCCAATATACATTTAAATAAATTGTGTATATGTGTATATATGTGTGTGTGTGTATGTATATATATAAAATACACAAACATACACATATCTGTACACAGACATATGGATGGATGTATATGTGCATACATTTGATTTACTTACTCACAGCCTGATCTTTTTGAAGATGAATCAAGGCAATCCCTTTCCTGTTGTCTACCCCACCACTTTCTCTTGCTAGATTTTCACGGAGGGGGCTCTCCACAGGAACTTCTGAGAGAACTCAGGCTACAACTCTTCGCAGTTCTTCTATGCCCCCTGAACGATCGCTTCCTTTTGTCAACATACCTCTGAGTGATGGGCAGGTATGGTTCTTAGGGACTTTGGCTATAGCAGAGCAGTCTTTGGTTGATGGGTGTACGTATACGGATATGTACACACACATATCCAGGTTCTAATTATTGCATATTAAGAAACTGTATGAATCTGGTCCTTGTAGAAATAGGATTGTGAAAAAGACAGGCTTTGCTCTCAAATCAGTAGCAATTATTTGAAGGCACCTAGGAATAAAATCAGCATTGCAATAGGAAGGGGATGAGGCTTCGAACTCAGTGGAGTGGGAATAGGCTGCAGAACATCCAGCACAACATGAATTGGGAGGAGCATGCGTGAAATTACATGACTGTTTGTTCTATGTACATTCCGAACAGCATCTTTCTGCTTTGTTTCAGACTCTTTGCTCATCTGGCGATGACATCCAGAACATCGATGTGCAGCTATTAAATAATGACACTGTCCAACATATCCACACTCTGGTGGTAAGTGTTTGAAGCATTTTGGGAAATGGCTGGCTGTCCCCCACATCCATATCTTTGGGAGAATTGGAATTTCCACCTTCAGGAAGCCTCTCCTTAGCTGTTGATTCTCGTCAGTTTGAGCTGGTCTGAAACCTTTCTCAGTCAAAGCTAGGAGTTGGCAACCTTTTTCAGCCAGAGGGTACAAATGAAATATTGAGAGCTTGCCATGGATACTCTCACAAAAGGGTTGCCATAGGTAGATGCTAACAACTTTGCAAAATGGCAGCTGGAGTGAATTTGGCCAGTTGGAAAACCCTTGTTCCCTTGGAGACAAATATGAAGTGGCTTCATCCCATGGTGTTCCTTATTCTTGTTTAGAATGGGTCTGCTGGAGGACAAAAGAAAATGAAACCATTGGAATTAGAGCAGTCCGCCCTGTGGATGTAAGAACACCTACTGTATGAGACAGACTTAAGTTACTGACTGATTATATCCAGCATGTCAGCACTGATTCTTAGCAACCATGTAGATAGACCTCCTCCAGGATGAGTAGACTTATAGCCATGACATGAAGAACAAACCAGCTTCCCATTTTGTTTGGACATAAAATGATGTGGAATGAATTCTGCCTTAATATGAAATTCAATAGTTCATTATTTTTTTAAAAAATCTACAAAAAGCACAGACAAGAATAACCCCCAAACTGATGTTTAGTGGTTCCAAGGGGATAGTATGAGAACTTATATGAGTTGCCTTTTCCTTCCTCAGAACCAGCTGACGGTCCTCTATGGAAAAGCAACAGTTAAGTCAAGTTGAAGGAATTGATGGCAGCTTTTCCTGTATTTCATTCATGTTGCAAAACTCCCTGATGTGTTTAAAGCAAGAGGGAATTGGTTTTAAGAATGTATTGCATATTAAACTTCGTGTATTTCTCATCTAGAAACATTTCGTGACTTGGCATTTGAAGCAAATGTTCTTATTGGGAGACTGGAACTAAAATTACATTTGCATTCATTTCCCAGTTTTCAATGTATGCCTCTGTGTATACATAAAATATATTTAGTGGATTTAGCTAAAAGTTTATTGAAGCACTTACTTGAAACTGACTCTCCATTAGAATTAGAAACTGAAGAGTACAGTTCAAAATTCTGATTAAGTTTAGTATTTGTCACCTTGGTAATCAAGTTGTACTTTTTAAAATTGCATGATTCTTGGCATAAGGTTATAGCAAACATACATGTGACTAAGATTGGTGATGGTGTGTCCACCTGGCCAAAAGTAGATGGTAGGGCATCTAGGGAGCCCCAAAGATTTTTAGCAGTTTGAGAATGGCTCTTAACAAGTAAAGATAATCCCAATATGATCTTATCTAAGTAAAATATCTAATCTCCAGAGTTTTAGGTGTGCCTATATGCTCCAACTGTATCAAGGTGCTACACCCTTAGCTTGTTTTTAATTGTTGACTATAGACATGTTATACATCTCCCCCTTAAATATAGTAGGAGGGGAGACACAATTCACAACATTAACCTGGGATATTTCTGGACCCCTTGGCTGAATGAGTCTGGAGAGATTGCCAGAATGTATATTAAGTTGCAGTAGGGATGATGTAGAGAGTAAGAAAGATGACCTTGACAGAGATAGGCCAGGTCTGTTACTGAAGTGACAAGAAGCAAAACACAGCTTAAATCCAAAACAAACAGAATGTGTGCAGAAGCGGTTCAGACAGGCATCTCCCTAATTCACGTAGGAGGATGTTCAGCACACTCAAACTTGCAAGATTCTGTTATTATAGCCACTCTCAATAGAAATGGTCTTAGCCTTCCTGTGGAGTTAATTCCTGGTCTGGACTACCTGGTGGAGCTGATAGATGGTTACTTTTCAGTAGCTTTGACTGAGAAGTGTTATTTTGGCTAAGCAGGTTGGACCTGGTTGGTATCTGGATGGGAGACTGTCAGAAACAGGCTGGAGGTTAGGCTGCGAAGTTGGTGAAACCTTCTAGAAGAAAACAGTAGCAAACTACTTCTCTGTTGTTGCCAAGAAAGCTGCGTGGACATCTTCTCATACAGACTCACCAACATACAAGCCTGACTTGAAGAAGACTTCACTTTTTTATATTTCTTGCATTCAGTCAGCAATGTGATATTATAATTTCAGGGTAAGGCCTCAAGCCAGAAAGAAAGATGTGGTTACATTTAGAATTACATTTAACTCCATTGGACATGTTGATTAAGTATCATCAAGTCAGCGTTGACTGTTCACAACCGTCAACTGTCCCCAGTCTGGTCCTTCAGATCTTCCAATGGTGCATCCTTCACCATTTTAATTAAGTCCATCCATCTTGCTGCTGATCATCATCTTTTTCTTCTCTTTCTTTCCACCTTTCTCAGCATTATAGATTTCTTCCGAGAGAAGTCTTTGCGGAATGTGTCTGAACTAGGATAATTTGAGCCTGGTAATTTGTGCCTCAAATGATAACTCTGGGTTGATTTGTTTGAAGATTCATTTGTTTTCTTGGCTATCCATGATATTCTCAGGATTCTTTTCCAATGACAACGTACAAAAATGTAAATATTCTGTTTCTTCAAAGTTCAGCTTCAGTTTCCTTCGAGTGTCATGGGGAAAACTATTGCCTGCACGATTCTGATCTATGTGTAGATGCATCTGGCATCTGAATTATCTTCTGCAAAGCCTTCATTGCTTCAAACGCTAGTCTGCAATGTATATCTTGGCTGCTGCTTCCTTTACTGTTGATAGTTGATCCTAAAAGGCAGATGTTACCACCTCATTGTCAGTGGTTGCTGTATCATTGGTTTGCTCTTCTCTATATTTAACAGTAGTCCCATTTCTTCACTGTGCTCCTAGACTTTCATGATTAGAGCTTGCAAATTATTTGTATTTTCAGCTGTCATTATAGTATAATAACCAGCATAGCTCCTAAAGTTAATGTAATGTATACAGACATCTAAAGGGTGAAGATCTGTGAATTCAATTCCTGGTAGAGCGTCTGAACCTCATGGAATAATATCTGCTACCCACATCTGATGATACCTAGTAAGGATGAAACTAGTAATGTAATGCCTCCTAGTGATCAATGTAACTGAAAGATGTCACATAAGATGTACGCTTTGTAAAAATAGAGAAATCCCCCCGCCCCGAGGAGGAGGGTAGAAATAACGTAAAAACCCATACGTGGGGTTATACATCCGTATCTCTCTGCTCTGAGAGCTTAAGAAAAGGTGGGTTGTAGATACCGTTCTGAAAAATTATTGAAAGTTAAAGCTCTCTGGGTTTTGATGTTGACTTTATTTTCACTTGGTTTTTAGAAGAATCAAAGGAAAGAGCTTCTTGCGCAACTTCAGCTCAGGACCTAAGGGGAAGGTGGGGAGTGGAAGGGAATAGCTCTCAGCAATACGTTTACTCTGAATTACCTCTCAAACCTCTCTTTATTCTGGTTACAAGGCAATAATTTGCAAGCAGTTGAGAGCTTATGGTTGACCCACATGTATTGTCAAGAACTTTCTTTGCATTTTAGAAAGGAAAGATTTATAAACATTTTATGCTTTAAGTTGACCTCACCCGGGCCCAGTTGAGTCTTTGTTATGCAAGTCACACAGTTTTGCAAGGGCTGTATGAACATTTGGAACTGGGTATTACCTTCTGTGATAGCTTTGTGAAAAGCTGTTCAATAACTGAGTTTCCTATCTTAAGTATACGAATACCATCCTCTCTTGCCCTGCAAGTTACATGGAACGTTAGGATACTGACCCACAATCTTTTCTCATTTCTCTGCAAAACCCGTTCACTTTAAAGAGAAATTTGGTCTGAGCTTATTTGTATAAAGGCTACATCGTTTTACCCTCTGAGGAAGATGTAATCTCATTTTTAAGAACAGGATGTAAATGGATTGGACTTTCCCCCCCCCCCACATTTGGAAACTTTACCTGAAAGTCATGTTCCTTTAAAGTAAGATATTTAAAATGAACACGTTACAGCCTTTTTTTGCAAATTTGCATTACTATCTTCTATCCAACAAGATAGGTTGAAGGCTGACTACCCTTCTCATTTGTCAATCTGACTGTAATTACATACAAGTTTTTACAGGAATTTATTTGAATATGTGGCTTAACTCCTGCATAGTGCAGTGATTTGGATTACCCATGGAGAAGAGAGATGGTGTTACTGGAGGCAGCACAGCTGAAATGATATGCCTTTTCGTGGTGGGTTTTCTTAAGGTATGTGAAGTCTAGCTGAGTCCTACTACACCTCCTGTCTTCCCATCAAAAATAATATCCCTGCTTCTTAAAACTGGTGATATTTAGTTCAATCTGAGGGGGTTTTGGAGCTACATGTTGCTTGGCTGCCCTGGAATTCTGACACACAAAACACTTTTGCTTCCTTAAGGCCAACCTCCTCTAGTTCTCTTCCGTCCAAGCTAGTCATATTGGAAATGAATTGCCTCAAAACTCCAAGGCCTAATTTTAGGTGTGAACTGATTGAAAGAAAGCAGTTACAAAAAGTATCATCATACACCAATGGTTTTTATTAAGTTTCAGAAACCTTTTCACAAGATTGTAAAAAAACTCTTACAACCCCTTTTTTTTTTTTTTTAAATCTTCCATGGTTTTCCCCATCAGTTCTGTTCCCCTGTGTGCCAAAACCAAATTTACTTACCATGCATCTAAAGTGGTAGATACAGGCTATGAATGTCTTTATTCTATTTGTAGCAGCTTATGCAGGTGCAGCCAAATACCAAGCCTTGGGACAAATTTTTACACAAAACTTTACAATGTAGAATTTGAATTTAAAATATAGAACTTAAAATCTACACAAAACTGGTAAAAACCAAGCACAAGTACAAGGACTGAAACTTAACCCAGATGAAAAGGAGAGAGTCTCACCTTCCTTTCAAGTGCCTTTATTCTGCTACAGAACAGTCAGTCAAAAAAAAAAAAAGATGTAAGCTTTTTGTGGTTAGTTTAAATTATACACTCTGTAGATACTATGGACCGATTTAAAAGTTACACATACAGCAACATATGTCCACTGGGCTCATGTGCATTGTTTAGACAATCCAACCGAGTTGCTGAAAACAAGTCAGGCAAAATTTTGAAGAGAAAAATCCATGTGTAACTTCCCTTACCCCACCCTGGACAGAATTTTTACTGATGGGCACACTGCACCCCCGGTCCATGATGGCCACTTTCCTCATCGGAACTATCGTTGTAGGCCTCACGCCTCTGGCCGCCGCTTGACCCACGAGTGGTGTCAAATTCTTGAAGATCTACTTCTTCTGCATCGCTAATTATGTTGGGGACTTCTGGTCTGGCTGGCAGAAGATCTTCAAGTTCCTAAAAATGAAACACAGCAAGAAAAGTAGTGCATGATGTTGTCATTCTGTGCCCCCAAATGTTATTTATTCGCCTTTTCAACATGATAACTTGTCCTTCACTCATACATCAGGGTGTAGCTGCCCCCCCACCATATTTCTGGAGAAGGTGGAGTTATGATGTAAAGCGGACAAGGTCATGTTACCTTTCCTGAGTTTGGGAGGGGAGGGTCTTGTTAAAAAATATTACACTTATTTTAAGGTTTAATTGCAGGTAGAGAGGAGGTGTGAAAATCCTGTCCCCTTAGAGAGCAAAATATTTAGCAGACTGCTTTGCATACTTACTGTAAGCTTTTCTGGGCTAATCCAGTTGTTTTCAGGAAACTGCACATCAAACTTTATATAAAGGTCACCCTTTTCAAAAGGGTTACGATATTGTGGCATTCCCTCCCCTCGAACCACCCGGACACAGCCTAGAGTTCAAAAAGGAACAG